GGGAAGCCGCTTGACATCCTCTCGCTCACGAAGTATGAGTTGAAAGATGCAATACAGGAAGAATCGACTCTTCCCAATCCCTGGATTCCCCGTGACAACCAGGTTGGAATCCTTGCCTGGTTTACGTTTTTCGTCTGTCTCGCTCGCACTAGTAGGAACGAACTCGAAGCAAGTTTTCGCGTACTGCACCAACTGGGCAAAGATCACAACATACGCCTCTCTCTCCACGATCGTTTTGAATTCCGCCTTTGGATGCTCCAGCAGCGAAGGGAAGTCCCTCATATCGAAGAATCTCTTCTCCTCGTTCACGTCCTCGCCCACTCTGCGCTTCTTCAGCGGGTGGAAGGACTCGGCAAACCACCCATTCGGCGGATGGCGTTTCCGTCCCTCCGGAACCACCACCAGCACGTGAACAGGGGTGTTCATCGACTCGACATCCTCTAGTGTGGGTACGAACTTGACGTCCTTCTCCGACAAGCCAACCAAGTTGAGCGGCGCTCCCGCAGCGCCCAGTAGTTTCAAATCACTCGTGTCACTCACACCTTCCTTCACGTCTGCCTCCGTCAGCCACGCCCCGGCGCCTTTCTCCGTCTTCGCCAGGAGGAGTTGCAGTTTGTATGCATCGACATCCTTCAAGTCGTTCGTCTTCTCCCCCTTGAAAAAACTGCCGGCGCTCAACGGAGCTTAGCATGATTTTCCCTTCGAACGAATACCTGCTTTTGTATGTAACCCCAATGTTGCTGTGTACGGTGCTTGGAGGTGTGGAGGAGACCTTTTGCTTGGAATCCCCCAACTGTTGGTATATGCGGTGCTTGGACCTGTGGAGGAAACCTCCGTCGCACACTACTTAGCGGTGTTGTCGTTGTTCTCAACGGTTGACGTTTAGGAAGCTTTAAACCTACTCTCGCTGGTAAATTACGGGAAGGAAAAAAACTGCCGGTGTTCTGTTCCAGTAAATATTACTACTACTCACTACGTTGACCAACAGACATTGAAACTGCAAGAAGTTGTACCTACTGGCGAAATGCCCCGAAACTTAGCGCTGGTTGCCGACCGTCACTTAGTGGACAGAGCGTCCCCCGGCACGCGAGTTTCGGTGGTCGGCATTACCTCTGTGGTCAACGCAGGAGGCAAAAACGTCGGCGCTGTAGCCATCCGCACACTCTATGTGCGCGTAGTGAGCATTGAGATCGCGAAGAAGGCATTTTCCCCAGTTGAGGAGGAAAAGTTTAATGAAATGGCGCGAGACCCGAAATTGTACGAGAAGCTGGCGACGAGTATTGCCCCTTCGAGTTATGGCGACTACACGGTGAACATCAAAAAGGCAATTGC